ACTCCTTTTGATAAGTTTTTTTTATTATTTTAGCTACTCTTATCTTACCATTCATAATTCAGCTGTTGCTCTAGATTCTTTAACGGTGCCCAACATTTAGCTCCGCGCAACAGCACTGTCTCTATTGTTCTTCTGTAAATCTACAGCTTCAACTTAGTGAGTATCTAGATGTCAGGGATATTCATAACATAATCTTAACGAATTATACAAATGGGTCGAAATGTCCCATCTTCCGACAAAATTATGCTGTTTTATACCCATGCATTGCACGTCATGCAACCTTGGCCTGCTTAAACAGTTCCCTGGGTTACTTGAAGCAAGGTGGCGGTATCAGAAATCGTAAAGTTATGATTACCGATGGAAGGAAATTTACAACATCGTAGCTGCTATAGAACACTGGGGTTATCTTTTGTCTATATACCTACTTACAGGACAGTGACAAACTTAGTTAATGTTCGAACTCGCCCCTGTTCAGCACAGTTCAGTGATGCGCACGTGCATCAGACGCACTTCAGGTGCTCACGTTTCATGGATCCGTGGTTTGTTTAAATGGTTACGCAATGCTCCTTGGCTACAAGACGGTGGACTACGCCGTGTAAATCTGGAGAATTGACCAGAGATTGTAGTCCTCTATCTTCGTTTTGTAGTTTTATTTAAAAACTGCCTTTTCTCGGTGATCTACGTCTTGATTAATCGCATAGAGCATGTGATTTTTCACTATGCACTCGCAAACTAGGCTGTTACTCAAAAATTCTCATTAGATCCGCACTTTTGATGGGTCGCGATTTGCATGTGTATATTGAAAATCGATCTTTCCAATCTTCTTTGGCTTGTTTTTAATGGATCCGTTCAATCCGCCCATTGGGGCTTCCAGGCTATGATCGTCCGCTTGAACTTCCTCTGTCGTAGTCCCCGAAGAATATGTTTTCCGTCGGTTTTATTAAGGCTAATTGTCAAGTGCTCAGCGAAGTGGAAAAGTTGTTCTGATTTGTTCTGATACATTGTTCAGTAGCTGAGCGGCATGATAACTATATTTTACCATATTTTGTTCAGGAATATGGAGAGTGGATGGTGGCTGAAGCTCTCCGGTCTGGTCTATATTCATTGATCTGATTTATCAGTTCGTGAAATTGACTGGACAGAGTCACCTGACCGGAAAGTCA